TCGCAGGAAACAGGTTTTAGGTGGTAGGGGTCGCAGGAAACAGGTTTTAGGTCTAGGTTTGCAGGAAACAGGTTTTAGGTCTAGGTTTGCAGGAAACAGGTTTTAGGTCTAGGTTTGCAGGAAACAGGTTTTAGGTCTAGGTTTGCAGGAAACAGGTTTTAGGTCTAGGTTTGCAGGAAACAGGTTTTAGGTCTAGGTTTGCAGGAAACAGGTTTTAGGCAGGGGTCGCAGGAAACAGGTTTTAGGTGGTAGGGGTCGCAGGAAACAGGTTTTGGGTTTTGATTTTCCTCGCATAGTTATTTCCTGCAAGACGCTAGTAGCGCACAGTCCTCTTTGGAGTCGTTTCCTGCTAGGAAACAACTTTCCCACAATATATAGAGTAATAAGTAAACTTCTACTTAAGAAATAGTATAAAAGAAAAAAATAAAGCTTTGCTAGCTTAGTGTCTAAATTAAATAATACGCTTAAATAGATAGGACGATCTTTTAATAAGGTAAAGCGTGAACTAGGCTTATAACTGTGGAAATTTAGATTACTAAGGTTAGGAATAATTTAGGAGATAGATTATTAGATTATATATACTACAATCGGACTTATATATATAGAGCTTTAGCTACCCTTACTAGAAGGTAAATGATTAGTAAACCTTCCTTACTAGAGCTCCTGCTTTTTATTAGGCACTTGGCAGTAAGCTGGCAGTTAATTAGATAGTGGGTTATACAGGGGTATTAATCAGGATTAATTGGATCAAGATGCTCCGTGATCTGGTTAATATCCCTCCTGCAACACTAACCTTTTCTTAACTACACTAAAACACTAGCACCCTAAATTAACTATTACTTGCACGTTCTCTACTCTACCTAGGAGGAGGGGAATAAAGAAGGGAGGATTATTTAACCCCGCCTTAATATCTAGAGGACACTTAATAGCCTCTACTATTAATAATTCCTCTATTAGAGTGTCCTCCTTATACCCCTAACTTAGCCTAAGGTTAGGGGTAGCTAGTTTCCTAAATTAGGGCCTCTTGCTAATGCTACAACTATCTTAACACCTACTAGTTATAGTAATAGGGTATTAGGACATGCACGCATAAAATAACCACCCTATTTATACTAGGTGTAGACCTTTACTAGTTTTTGTGTATTAAATAGGTCTTATAGGATCTAGTTAGGATATAATATTAGTAGTTTATTACGTGCACTTAATAAGGCTGCTACTTTTACTATATTTATATTACTGTCCTAATCTAGGGTAGACTTCTACTAAGGTTCCTTAGACTTACTAGCCTAAAGAAAGCCTAGTTCTAGAGAGGCTATTTTAATATCTACCACAATTATCTTGTATTCCTCTATAGCTATGTTATAGTTTGTCCTAGAGACTCCCCTATTAAGGGATTGCTAAAGTTATAAAAGCTTCTATTTATTATCCTAGTATAAACCTCCTAACTATATAAGGAGCTATATAAAGTTTATAAAGAACTTTATAAAAGGCTAATTTTAGCCCTAATATAAGTATTCTAACGCGACTTAGGCGCGCTCCTGCCTATAATAGTTGCTGTAATAGAACACTAGGTAGTCTAGAAACCTGCTTATATCCTAACGCTTGCGTGCACTATCCTTAAAGTATAGTGCTATAGTGCGCTAGACTACAGGTAATAACTAGGACTAAATATATATAAATCTTGCCTCCTTATCCCTAATAAAGACCTTGTCTGCACGCAGTTTAAACTCTATAGTTATTTACTAGGAGGAGAAGTTTACCTTAGTGCTATTATATAGCAAGCTAACTAGGAAGGGTTTGCAACGTAAGGTAGGGGAGGGCAGAGGCAGCATGTTATTAAACCTAGCGGGCTTAGAGGAGGGTTAGGATAGAATCTAATTGCGTATTTCCTTATTCTATTAATATAGTATAGCTATTATAGTAGAGTCTTAAGCCTATTATTTTATTAATCTATAGACCTGCTATATTAGCCTTTCTACTATATTAGGTTGCACCTAATTATTCTAAATATCTAGCGCAAGTATCTCTATTACTATTATAGTATATTTAGAAGAAGATACTAAAATATTATAGACTAGCCTTAAGGGAGAATACAATACGCGTTAATAATAGTATTTAGTATCTTAAAGGAGAGGTAAGCCCTCTACGCCTTTTTATACGTATGTAGCGTGTTTACTTAGTAGTAGTGTTAGACTCTATCTATCTTGTGTTAGGCCTAGGCTTAGGTATAAGCCTAAGCCCTTCACATTTTGTACAAGACCTATAGGTGTAAGAATCCTATCCTTTTCTATATAGACGCGGACTCCTATATTCCTTTAAGTTATATAGGATACCTTTTAGATTCCCTACCTACCTACGTCGTTATAACTATTATAGCTAGGACCAAGCAATTAGCACGCAGATCCACTAGTAGAAAACAATTGCAAAAGGATTTAGCTAAGAAAAGCTGCTTAAAAACCCTTAAAAACAAGAGTAGTATAGACAGGAAGAAAATTTAGTACAAGCTAGCTAGTAAGTTTATTATAGATTTTAATTATATTCCTAAGCTAATAATAGTCTATAGCTATTACGATTAGAGAGATTAGGCAATGTTAGAAAAGCACTAAGCTCCTGCTCTATAAGCTGCTTTTCCCTTAAGTTGTACGTGAGATTACCTATAACGTAGGTTAGCTAAAGGAATACTACTTCTGGAGCAATATAATTAAAGCTCTTTAAGAATGTTTAGAACTATTTCTTATTAGGTTTTTAGAAGGTATATTTTTATAAAAGTATGCCTAGTTAATACTATAGCTAATAAAATAGAGTATAATGTAAATGCAATTTATACAAAGAGGGTAACTATTTAGGCTAAGGATTTATAGCTAGCAAAGTACTACTATTAGAAATTTAGTAGGAAAGACTTTACTTAGGGTTTCTATATATATACTACAAAGGATTGCATAGTTCTCTTATAGATTAACTAAGCTCTATACCATATTAAATGCCTATATTAAATACCTATAATACATACCTATAATACATACCTGTAATACATAGCTATAATACATGCCTGTAATTAATACCTATAATACATGCCTATAATACATACCTATTATACATATACTATAAGTAGATTACGTAAGACCCTAGACCTAACCTAAGCCTAAGGTCTATGCGACCTAACCCTACCCTAAGCCTGTGGCCTGTACAAAAATCTATGGTTAGGTTTAGGCAAACGATATTCGTCTAGGTTATAATAAGCTAAACGTCTAGGTTACAAGCCTACTACACCTATATTAGCGCTTAGCGTATACTTAGCATGTATTATACTAGCGAATAAGGTTTTCTTTGAATATATCTCTAGGACCCTTACCCTATCACTATCCCTAACTAGCCTAACCCTACCTACTAGTACACCCTTACTCTAACTAACTCTAACCCTAGCTGTATAAATTACGCCAAGTGCTAATATAGGTTTAGTAGGCTTGTGACCTAGACGTGTAGCTTATTGTAACCTAGACAAATATCATTTGCCTTAGGTTTGGGTTAGGTTTAGGGTCTAACATAAGCTAACCTAACCCTAACCTAACCTATACCTATTTACCACCCTAAAGATTACTTATCTAGTAACCTTACTTGTCTAGCGAGGGTTCCCTTACCTAGCAAGATTACTAATCTAGTAAGCTTACTTATCTAGCAAGATTAGTTATCTAGTAAGCTTACTTGTCTAGCGAGGGTTCCCTTACCTAGCAAGATTACTAATCTAGTAAGCTTACTTATCTAGCAAGATTAGTTATCTAGTAAGCTTACTTGTCTAGCGAGGGTTCCCTTACCTAGCAAGATTACTAATCTAGTAAGCTTACTTATCTAGCAAGATTATGTAGTAAGCTTACGTATCTAGCAAGATTACCTATCTAGCGAGCTTACTTGTCTAGGAAGGGTTCCCTTACCTAGCAAGATTACTTATATAGTACGCTTACCTATCTAGCAAGGATTTCTATACCTAGTAAGATTACTTCTTCTTTTATGGACTAGATATAGCATATATGCTTATTCTAGCAATATTTAATAAATTCTACTATTTCACTATTATAGTATAATGCTAGCAAGCCTATATAGTAGATATAACTACCTAACATAGTTTAAAGATTTTATAGATTTATTAGCATTATTATAAAATCATTGTCCTAGTACTATAGTACTAACTGCCTACTAGATCGCGTAAATAAACCCTTGAATATATATACTTAGGCTTTTTAAAATCGTTAACCATAAAAGCTTAAATATTAGTATTAAAATAGGAGATAAAAAGATTAGTAATTATTTAGCAGTTATATTATTAGATTATATCTACTATAACAGGTCTTATATAATTAGGGATTAACGTACCCTTATAAATAGGTGTAAAATTAGTAAAACATACTTACTAGAGCCCTATTTTCTATTGGCCACTTAGTACTAGATTACATAGTAGATTAGTTAAGGGTATTAATTAACGATATTAATTAGGAGTTATACTAGTTAACTAGATTAAGATACTCTATAACATAGTTAGTATCTAGTCTGCAACAACTATATATAGGGCGATTCCACGTTTCTATTATATTTATTATAATCTGCCTTAATCGCAGTTTACTCTAGTAAAGATCTAGATAACTTTGTTCTAGATTAGCCTCTTGTTGCGGCAGGGATAACAAGCGGAACACGGAGCATCTTGATCCAATCAACTAATCTACATCCTAATCAATATCCCTGATCTATACCCCTAGCTGATCCACGATCTAATTAACTGCCAGCTTACTGTCAAGTGCCTAACAGAAAAAGGAGCTCTAGTACGGAAGGTTTACTAATTATACACCTTCTAGTAAGGGTAGTTAAAGCTCGATTTATATAAGTCCTATCGTAGTAGATACAATCTATTCATCTATCTCGTGAATTATTCCTTACCTCAGTGATCCAAATTTCCACATCTCTACCTCTCTCTTTTACAAGACTTCCAGCTCTCTCTTTTACAAAGCGTCATGCATCTACCTCTTATCTTTACCTTTGTCACTACTGCTGCTGCTGCTGCTACCTATACGGTAGCACAAAAGGCTGCATGTAAAGGACTAAAGCGAGGTGCGACATGTGTTCCACCTGAATGTACGGGAATATTCCTCCCCCCCGATTGTCTGGACCCAGATCCTAGGAACCCACCCATTAGTGATGGTTGCAATCCTAAATTCTTTGAGCACCTTCCCTTAGGGTGCGTTGGAAACACACATCAATGTCATTAGTAAGCCTAGTATAATAATATAATATACAGCTATTCTCATACTAATATCTATTTATAGCAAGCCTCTTATTGGTCTTATTTGTATGTAATAGTGCAACAATTTAGGTGGATTATATAATAGTATTGTTATATTATACTCTATATATAGGATCTAAGAATAAGGTAGCGGATTTGATTTAAATACTAGACGTAAAAAGGTTATAATAAACGTTAATACCTATATTTACAATCTTACAAGAGACTACATCTAGGATTTAGTATTACCTAAGCCTATTACAACTATAATACTTATATATATATAATATATTAATAGACTCTTAAGTTATTCTATATAATATACCACCCCTATATATTAGGACTATTATACTATGTAAGTTATTAAATAAAACATTAGAAATAAATATACAAGTATTATTTATACTAACCTATTTATAGTAAGTAATTTAAGAAATGTTTTAGCTATTCCTCTATTAACATACTCTCTATTAATTGTCTTTGTATAGATATACTTAAGGTATTAGAGTGTGTATTTATCTATAGTATTGTTATAGACTAGCCTTAAGGGAGAATGCAATAAGCGTTAATAATAGTAGTTAGTATCTTAAAGGAGAGGTAAGCCCTCTACGCATTTTTATAGGTGTGTAGCGTGTTCGCTTAGTAGTAGTGTTAGACTCTATCTATCTTGTGTTAGGCCTAGGCTTAGGCATAAGCCTAAGCCTTTTACATACCCCTAACCTTCCCTATAAGCTATTGTGAAGTTGTCTTTTTAGGGGTCTAGGGTTATATCTTTGTCCCTTTATAATCTATATTAGGCTTTGTTGCTATATATTTAGGTTTCGTTATTATTGTAACAACGTAGGTAGGTAGGGCATCCAAAAGGTATCCTATACAACTTAAAGGCATATAGGAGTGCGCGTCTATATAGAAAAGGATAAGATTCCTACACCTATAGGTCTTGTACAAAAGGATAAGAAGAACATACCTATCCTAACTATAGGCGAGCTGTTCTCTATATACATTAGTAAGTTAGGCCTTTATTAGGCCTGACTTAGCATAGAATAATAGGCAGGCAATTCTGCCTTATTGTTACACTACCCCCTCCTGTAGAGAAAGGATAGTCCCTATCCTTAGGATTAGGTTTAGATCCCTTATTAAAGAAGAGCTTTTTGCAAAATAATTCTACCTTTACCTCTACCTTTACCTTTACTTCTTCTTCCTAGGGCACAGACCCCTGTCCCTAGCCTGTATATAATTAGCCCTCTACCTACTAACTTTCTTATTCCTATATCCCTAATTTTTTAAATATTTAACCTAATCTATCTAAAATCTAGTAAGTATTTAATCTATATAATTAAACAGTTACTAATCTAAATTAGAACCTTTAGCTATGCTAGTACTAGTACTACTAGGAGTTCTCCTTATTACTTATCGCGCTCTCTATATAAGGGCAGTTAGGGCTCTAGCTAGGGGTAGGTTTAATAATTTTGATTTTAAGTTAAAGAATTCTAAGAAGTGCTAGTACTGTATCTCCTAGAATAAGTATTGCAATCTAGTAAGTATCTAAGTCTAATAGGGTTCCTTTACTAATTCTAGCAGATTTCTTCTTTTATTAGCTAAGAGTACTCTGCCCTTAGGGGTGCCCTAGAAGAGTACTATAGCCTAATAGGAAACCCTGCTAAAGGGGATAAGGATAAAGAGGCTGTGGTTACTTATTAGAAGGATATTAAGCAGTTTAAGGCTACTATTTAAGAAACTACCTAAAACCTAGCTAAGTGCGTTACTATTACTAATACTTAGACTAAGGGTATAGAAGCTGCTAAAATCCTTATAGCTACCTATTATACTACTATATCTATTTTATATTAGCTTTAGAATAGTATCTATAAGATAGTCTTAGTAGTTAGGGGCTTAATAAGGGTTATTAACAAACTTAAGGAGGAATTAGCACTAAATTAGGAGGTAACCTTCCTAGTGTAGGCTAAGATAAAGGTATTCCACGAGAAGGAGTCTAAATTAGTCCTAGCTCCTGTCCCTACTCCTGCACCTGCTCCTAAGCCTGCTGCACTAGTTATCTAGAAGCTAGCTAAGAAAGATAGTCTAGGCGCTATCTTAGCTAATATAGAGTCTAAACTAGGTTCTAATAGAGAGATAGATATAGAATAAAGAGGTTTCTTAGGGGTAGTATCCTAGGAACCTTTAAGGTTCTAGGTTAGTTCTAAATAAGATATAATAATAAATAGTAATAAGAATAATAGTAATAGATAGTAGTTAATAGATAATGCGTAGCTAAATAGGATGTGAATTAGTTCTAATATTAGGTATAATTGTTGTAAAGTAATATTAGATCCTCCTTGCCCTTTTCCTAGGCTTAAATCTATTTTAGTAAGCTGCGTAGGGGACCTAGCTAATTTAGATACTATTAGTAGAATACCTATAATTTATAGGGAGCACCTATAAAGTTAGAGGCAGGATACTAAACAGGATTAGGATTATATCTAACCTACTTAACCTTATATTTTAGCTTAGATTAATATAATTTGCTAGCTAGGATTTCTTCTACCTCCTATTCCTCTACACCTTATATAGGTGTACTAGGGGGTTTTAGAGCCTCTTATCTACGTAATAGGTCTTAGGGATCTTTATATAGTATATTAGGAGAGAAAATGTTATAGATCTTAGAACTAGGTAGTAATTAGAGGCGATACGCGTTTCCTACTTGTTCTAATACCTTAAAGGGACCTTCCTATTATTTAGATAGTTTTTAGCTAGGTTGTAAAATAGCAAGATTAGTAGTAGATAGATAAATATAGTTACTAACCTTCTAGTTAACTAGATAGTAATAGCAATTAGTAGTAGAGTGTATTTAGTCTTAAGCTCTTTCTATATTTTCTTTAGTAATCTTCTAGGCGTTATGTATCTAAGTAGCAGGGGATAAGGCGTCCTTGTGGTTTAGTTTCTCTAGTATAGTAGATAGGGTCTTTTCTAGTTTCTAATACTAACTTTGCTTTAGTAAGGAACTAAAGAGGAGCTAATATAGAGCTATGCTAATAGATAAATATAGAAGAGTACTTTAGGCACAGTCTATTATAGGTAGTAGGTCGCTCTAGTTATCTTAGTAATAGGATACAAAAGGCCTTAGTCTCTAATTAATATACTTATTTATAATCTTAGTTTATCTATTAGTTTGTTTATAGTAGGTAGTAGAGAGCTTAACTTTAGTACCTATAATCTAACAGAATTTAGACTAGAAACTAGATATAAACTAAGGGCCTTAATTAGAAATAATAGTATCTAGAGTGTGTCTAAATTAGTACACCTACTAAACAAATAAGGTAGCTATACCTTAGGCGTCTATAGTTTTATAGCAAGGGATAGTAATAGCTTGCTTTAATAGGTAATTAATAATAACTATAATCTAATTATAACCACGTTAATCCTAGGGAAAATCCTTAAAATTAATGCATAAGTGTTGCATTAGTAGACTAGGGATAGGAAGGGGCTAGAGTATACTAGGAAGTTAGTGCTATCTTAGGTGCCCTCTCCTATATAGGATACAGTTCTAAACGTAGCGTTTATAGGTAGTCTCTATACCTTTCTAGTAGTAATATTAGGCTAGAATCTAATAGGTTTTAGTAGCTAATAAGTAGGTAGTAGACACTTAATTATAAGCCTTACAAATTAGTCTAGTATATAGGACTAATCTAGTAGGCACGCAAAGTTAATCCTAGTAGAGAAGGAGTCTGTTTTCTATCTAATAGTGCTTAGGCAACTCTAATCTTTCTATTAGGAATAAGGACCTATTTTCTTAGAGAAGAGTTTTAAGGAGTTCTAGGGATCTAAGAGTTATAGGGTTCTAAACTGCTATAATTAAAGCAAGGATTAGTAAGGGACGCTTAGCTAGGTAGTCTTGCGCTAAGTTAGAGTTAATTTAGGGGTGTAACCTATCTAGGGCAATTATTACTTATAAACAATTATCCCTTTAAGTAGTCTTAAGGTTAACTATATCCTGTTCCCTTCTACTTAGGATATCTACTTAGGCGTTGTAAGATCTAGGAGTATACTTAATTTAGAAGTTAAAGGGACTTATAACCTCTAGCTATCTAGCTTACCTAGCACTAAGGACTTTAGTAGATATAAAGTACTCTAGTGCTCTATAGTCTATATATACTCTAATAAGGTGCTAAGTACTTATTAGGTTAGCACGCCATTTCTTAAAGGCGCAGATTATTATAAACAATTCTTTATTATAGATTTCCTAGTTAAGTTTAGAACTAGTAAGGGTCTAACTAAAGAAGGATATAGGGTACTATTAAACTAACAGATGGGGTACGATCGTACTAAACCAACAGGGAGAGTAACCTATTCAAACGAGGAGAAGTGGGAGGGGCAAGGTTCAATAGTATTAATCCTATGGCAGATGATATAGGTTCAATGCAGAAACATAAGTAAAAAGATGAAATTTGTAGAGTTAAAGTAAAGTCCGCAGGAGTTATGCCTCTCCTATCCTCTAATCCTTTATGCCTTTATACTATTTAATTCGCCTAACTTTTTAGGCTAAGCCTTGTTTTTCTCCCTTATATCCCTTACTACAGCACAAACCTCCCCCTCCTTTAAGCTTAGCCCTATTAAGCTTAGCCCTTACTCTCCTCCTCTAGGTTAGCGACCCTGGTTCCTAGCTTGTCAAGCTTTAGGTAAGGGGGTAGGAGTATCTAGGGTCTCTAATCTTAAACCTAAACTTAACGAGATAGTTCTCCTCTACGCCCTTGCTAGGCTTCCTAGATAGCCTAGCCCTAGGCGCCTAAATCCCTCCGCCTTTCGTTCCTCTTTAATGGCTCCTAGATGCTTTTTAACTGCATCTAGACTCTCTAATTACTTAATCTATCTATTATACCTCTACTACTTTCCTACTTTAGTAGGCTATACCCCCTTTGTGCTAAAATAGGATTAGTCTAGTACCCTAGCCTCCTTATCCTTACTAAATATAAGCTTCTTATTCTTAACGTAGATAGCCTAATTCTTCTTTAACTCCTTTACTATCTTAACCTAACTCTTCCTAATCTATACTTCTATCCTTTCTCTATTTAAATCT